TCAAGTTTACTCCTATTATGATCATGAACACGAACAAATACACTACACCCAAAGACTCTCAAAGGTAGATCAGTGGTCAATCTAAGAGTAGGGAAGTATGTCTTGAACATACTAAAAGGGGTTTAAAAATCTAGAACACGAGAAGGCATCCTATTAATAAGATAAGTGGATGTCAAAAGAGCTTCTCCCCAAAGAAATTTAGGGACTCCACTTGTGAATATTAAGGCCCTAGTTACCTCCATAAGATGCCTATTTTTTCTCTCAGCTACTCCATTTTGTTGGGGTGTATTAGGACATGAACTTTTGGTGCACTATTCCCTTGGAAGTGAAAAAATTGCCTAGATTGTCATTAAAATACTCTCTCCCATTATCACTCTGAAATAGTTGAATCTTCTCATGAAATTGTGTTTCGACCATAACATAAAAAACCTCAAATATATTGGTTACTTCACTTTTGTCTTTCAATAAGTACACCCAAGTTAGTCTAGTGTGATCATCTATGAAACTCACAAACCACCTTTTTCCATTTATAGTTGCTACCCTAGAAGGTCCCCAAACATCGCTATGGATTAACTTAAAGGGTTTTGTGGCATTGTATTTTTGGGAAGAAAAAGATGAACGTCTATGTTTAGCCATTTCACAAAATTCACACTGGAAAAGAGGATGTACTTTTATTCATAAACAACTGAGGTAACAAGAGTTTCAAATAATGAAAATTAGGATGACCAAGTCTATAGTACCATAACATGACTTTATTATCAACTTGAATAGAGTTCAAACAAGCTGAACTAAGATTTACTGAACTGTCCCCGTTTTCAAGAAAATAGAGACCTTCAGACTCTCTAGCATTGCCAATCATCCTCCCCGAGACCTTGTCCTGAAATACGCATGAAATAGAGTCAAAGATAGCACGACAATTAAGGTTTTGAGTCAATTTGTTGATGGACAAAAGATTATGAGACAGTTTTGGAACATGAAGGACATCAAAAAGGGTCAAAAGAGGGGTTAGTTTGACTATCCCTTTTCCAGCAATTGCTGAGAAGGAACCATCAGCAATTTTGACTTTTTATTTCCTGCTAAAGGAGTGTAAGTTGAAAAAAATGAGAATTCCATGTCATGTGATCACTACCCCTGAATCTATGATGCAAGGACTTATACCACTTGAATCTGTACTCACAAAAACGGAGGGTACATTACCTGCTTGGGAAAATGAACAAGTGGGAGTAAAAGAATCAGATTTACTGGTTTGGAGTTGAGGTTGAGGTTGGAGAACTTGGAGAAATTTGTGTAACCACTCTACTTGTTCCTTAGTGAAAGGTTGCCTTTCTAGAGAAGATCGTAACCCTGGTTCTTTGCTGGTACGCTAAAGAGCCTGACCATGGTTGTCTGCCATTTTTCTGTTCCAGCTAGGCGGTTTCCTATGGATATTCCAGCAAGTCTCACGAGTGTGCCCATATTTTTTGCAAAAATCACACCACAGCTTCATTGTTGTCTCTTGTCAAAATTGTTAATAGAACTCTCGACTTCTATTGATGCCGTTGGCTTCTATTTTCTTGGCAGCAGTGTTGTTTTAGTTACAAGAATAACCTTGCTCTGATACCATGTAAGTTTTGGTACCAAAATTGTACAATCTTATTCATCCATAGAGATAACATATTTAATAGTATAGAAAACTGACTAACTAGCTATCAGATCCCTTGATTCTGGCAGATTTGAGAATCAAGGATCCTAACCTATTCAATAGCAAATCAGATATGATTTTATAAGATCAATTTAAATCCTATAAAATCATATCTGATCACACTTTAGATATTTACAAATCAACAGGTTTAGTTAGGGAAAGCTACATCTACCGAAGCTTAAAAATGAAAGGAAGGGAACAGCATAAGCACCAGTTCATATTCCTTATGAAGGCGCTTTACACATGCTTTTTCTGCCATGTCCTAGCTTCAAAATATATTGAGACTAAGAGATAATGTTGCGAAGCTTCCCTTGTCCTCGTGACCACCAAATAAATACTACAACCTGTAATATGAAAGTTATGAAACATATAATAAGTAAGGCATTACATTTTCATTTTTCAGGTAGAGAAGTGCCCGAGAAAGACTATTAAGTCCACAAGAAAATAATGCTGAAACAAAAAGCAGGCAAAGCCAGCTAAGTTTGTTTAAAGTAGAAATTTTTTTGAAATGTCTTTTTTAGACTCTCAAATAGCCAATAATTGCACATGTTGTTAATAACGACAGTGTCCAGGTCAAATTGTACCATCTCGATTAATAATGCACTGGGTACCTACTACCTCCAATATGCACATGTATCCAGTAACATTGTCCAATGAGGCTTAAGTGGATGGCTATCATCTGAATCAATCAATCAATCAACAGTATATATTTGTATCAAAATTAAGTGAAC